AGCCATATGTTCAGACATAAAGCATGTCTCAATAAATTTTTAAAAATGGAATACATACCAACCATACTCCCAGACCAAAATGGAATAAAAATAAAAATGAATGCCAGAAAGATAGCCCCAAACCACAATTACATGTAAATTAAACAAATTTCTCCTGAATTACTTTTGGGTAAACAACAAAATTAAGGAAAAAAAAAAAAAAGAATTCATTGAGGTAAATGAAAACAAACACACAATTCACCAAAAAACTCTGGGTTGCAGCAAAAGCAGTGTTTAGAGAAAAGTTTATACTGCTAAACACTTACTTCAAAAAGTTAGAAAGATCTCAAATTAAAGATCTAGCAGGCATGGTGACTCACTCCTGTAATCCCAGCACTTTGGGAGGCCGAGGTGGGCAATCACTTGAAGTCAGGAGTTTGAGACCAGCCTGGCCAGCCTGGCCAACATGGTGAAACCCCGTCTCTACTGAAAATACAAAAATTAGTCAGGTGTGGTGGTGCACACCTGTAATCCCAGTTACTTGGGAGGCTGAGGTAGGAGAATCACTTGAACCCAGGAAGCAGAGGTTGCAGTGAGTTGAGATTGCATCACTGCACTCCAGCCTGGGCAATAGAGCAAGACTCTGTCTCTAATAATAATAATAATAATAATAATAATAATAATATTACACATAAAGGAAATTGAAAAATAAGAAAAATGGTCTTCAAAGATAGCAGAATAAAAGAAAAAACTAGAAAAAAAAGAGAAAGAACAAAAATCAGAGCAGAACTAAGTAAAATAGAGATAAAAAATCCATACAAAGAATTAATGGAGCCAAAAGTTGATTTTTTTGAAGGAATAAACAAGATTGATAGACAGTTAGATAGATTAGCAAATAAAGAAGAGAGAAGATCCAAATAAGCACAATCAAAAATGACAACAATGACAAAAATCACAACCAATCCCACAAAAATAAAAAAAGATCATCAGAGACTATTATGAAAACCTTTATGCATATAAACTAGAAAATCTAGAGAAAAATGGATAAATTCCTGGAAACACACAACCTCCCAAGATTGAATCATGAAGAAATTGAAACCCTGATCAAGTAAATGTTGAGTTCTGAAATTAAGTAAGTAATAAAAAACCTGTTTATAGCCCTGGATCAGATGGATTAACAGCCAAATTCTATCAGACATACAAAGAAGAGTTACTTCTTTTGGAATCAAGTTATTTCTTTTGGAATCAAGTCTACTGAAATGATTCCAAAATAATGGAAGCAGAGAGACTCCTCCCTAACTTATTCTACAATGCCAGGATCATCCTGTTACTAAAACCTGATAAAGACACACTGTAAAAAGAAAACTGCAGGTGAATGTCTCTGATGAATGTAGACACAAAATTCCTCAACAAAACACGACCAAACTGAATCCAACAGCACATCAAAGGTTAATTCATGACTATCAATTAGGCTTTATTCCTAGGATGCAAGGTTGGTTCAATATATGCAAATCAATATATGTGATTCACCACACAAAGAGAATTAAAAACAAAATCCATGCTAGCTAAGCTATTTAATAAATGTTGATTAACTGCTGAAATGTGATAAGCTACTAGCATCAATAGCTGTATTCTCTTTCAGAAGAGAAAATATTCTTTTTTAACCTTGTCACTATTCTAACGGAAATTCAATTATCCCTGTCTCATATTTGCTATAGTAACTATAATTCATAGTTACTATAGTTTAAAGGCACAACAAGATTATTATAAATAATTAAGTATAAATGATGTGGAAGTATTTTCTTCCACCACTCTGAATAAGCTGTACATTTTTTAATGAGTTGCAGAATTTATTGTATGTAAAATCTGTATTGCACAACCAAAATATGAAAAGGTAAATAATGCAAGAATGTAGAAAAATTTTAAAAATCCCTACACTAAATATCTAAACACCCTTATACAATATAAATATTTACACATTTGTCTTTTACACTTTTTGTGCACGTGTGTATGTGAGGGGGCACATTGTTTCTAAAGAGAATCACAGCTATTTTGTTTCTCTTTGAAAGCTCAGTATCCAAACAAAAAGCAAACAAACTAAAAAATTTTCATATTTTAGGTAAACTTTGATCTTCAATTCATGGAGTATGGTTTCTCTTTATTCTATGGCCTTTGGTCAAATACAATATACAGATTATGTGAGTGGGTAAAATCAATAATCATATACTGAGGTTACAAAGAGCAATATTTTGATACTGAATATAGAGTCCTTTGCTGGCAGAAAACGTAAGAATTTTACAAGATTATAATAAATGATAATGTTTTCAACCTCAGTAACTGGTTATCTCTTCCAGGATCCCAACTAAAATTAACCCAGGAGTCCAATAGAGACAAAAGGTCAAAACTGTTGCTGGATGGAGAGAGAGAGATATATATATATAAAAAGATTTGAGAGTTCAAATCTTTCATATATGGATATATATATATCCATCCAGCAACAATATATATAATATATATATTAGTGGACAGTTGAGATATCAGTTCATGGATATAAAAATATATATGTTATATATAATATATATTTTATAGATATAATGAACATTTTAAGTAAGTGATGGAACTAACACACATTTTGTAGCACTGAAAAAGGTTAATAAAAAAATTTCTGTGTACTGTTAAGCGGCTCCTTGAACTGAATAATATTGGTATGCTATACATTTTAGATCAACTACTGAAATTGCTTTACTCCACTCTTAAACCTTACATTAATTAAAATAGAAAAAGATATTAAAAGAAAGATTTGAGAGTCCATCTCCATATTTAAGATGTTATGACCTTGACAGAAACTCTGAAACTAATACAATAAATGTAATAAAGTAAATGATCAAAAAGTGTGGCAAAAGCAATAAAGGTTAAAATATTAACTCCAGAGTCAATACTCTAAAAAATGAAAAACAATGGAAAGCCATGGAGACTGTGGACATGTTTGGAAAGTTGCTGACAGAAGCATTGTCACTAATATAATGACTTCAATGAAGTACCGTTTTTGCTATTAAGAGCTATTACTTCATAATGTAATGGACAGTGATGTGATTAGTAAATGAAGTCACATCAGTGTTAATAATACTTTCAAATTTACCTACTTTTAAAAATTGCATTTTTTTTTCCTCTGTGTACCCATCTGAACCTATCTAAACAATATCGAAAGTCGTATCTTTTCTACAACACCCTTTCAGGTCAGTGACATCTCAGTTAACTATCCACTAGGGAATTGGAGATTTGGTTAATGGATTTTTTTAACCAGATGCAACATACCTGCCCGTATCACGTAATCACAGTCTTTCTAGCAGATCTCTCATTATTTAATCATGAGGTGTTTAGCAGCTTAATCGTAAGAAATTTCCAATCTAAAGCTAATTAGTAAGTACATGTTAGAAGTTGAAGAGGCTTATAAAGTAAAAAGACATTTCTTCATGACGTCAGCACCATGAGCCAGATCTGCTGGACTCCTGTCCTTCCTCCTCCTCATGTCCTGCTCTGGCTTTCCCTCTTTCATCTCCAGGAGATGGGCTGGTGCTTCTCAATACTCAGCCTAAATGGGACCTTTCGTTCCAGTTCCTAAATTCTCCATGAAGATTCTTTCTGATGGATTTAAACCAAGGAATACAGAGTTTTTCTCAATATCCATGGAAAGTAAATCAGGGTAGCATATTAAGACTGATAACTTGGCCGGGCGCAGTGGCTCAAGCCTGTAATCCCAGCACTTTGGGAGGCCGAGATGGGCGGATCACGAGGTCAGGAGATCGAGACCATCCTGGCGAACACGGTGAAACCCCGTCTCTACTAAGAATACAAAAAAAAAAAAAAAAAAAATTAGCCGGGCGCAGTGGCGGCGCCTGTAGTCCCAGCTACTCGGGAGGCTGAGGCAGGAGAATGGCCTGAACCCCGGAGGCGGAGCTTGCAGTGAGCTGAGATCCGGCCACTGCACTCCAGCCTGGGCGACAGAGCGAGACTCCGTCTCAAAAAAAAAAAAAAAAAAAAAGACTGATAACTTCAGTTCTAGCTACATCCATTAATATCATCATCAACAACAGATGATTTAAAATGTCTAGGGGATGAAGAAAGAAACTAGAAAAAAAAAAACTCTTGACATGGAATCCTGTGACCATTTAATATGTAGGCGAATAAAGTAAGACCATTTACTATATAAAGTATAATGGTGCCTATTTTTTTCATTGGATATGAAGTTAAAATGTGCCACTGAGCCAATAAAATGATACTCATGTTAATATAAGTAATTGCAGAATGATCCATCTAACAAGTAAAAAAGAAAAACTAGTTTTACTAAAATTTTAGTTGAAAATTATCCCATTTAATAAGAATATTTGAAACATTCTGATTCTATAGATATTTGTTTCTGAAAATATTGATCTGATTCAATAACATAAATTTAGTTTTTGAACAGTCTCTTAGTTAAGATTTTCAGGTTACATCAATATTCATTACTTTATTAACAATTATAACAAGTAATTGGTTGTCTAGCAACCAGGACACAAGACCTTGGGAAGAGATTTATCAAGAAGTAGATATAATAAGGGAATTTAAAAAATCTATTTTAAGGATGTAAAGGTGTTTGTCTAGGATCACAAATCCTCCACCAACTGCCCAACACGGCTAGAGGTTCCTGGGGGTGTCCACGGCTGAGCGGACCTGCTGAGTCAGCGCTTGCTTAACTCCTAACACTGGAGCCAGGCATAATTGGCTATCTCAGATACCTTGGCTAGAGCACTTGTGAAATGCAGGTACTCATTTGCCTCTCTGGCTTAAGACTTAAAAAAGAAGCAGGTGCAGTTGTCTGGCCTATTTTACTCGAGTTATATCATCATCAGAGTTCTCCGTTATCTGTTTATCACTTGGACAATGAAAGAAGACAGAAAATGAATGCAAGTGAGAGAAAATCCCCCTTTTCCCTGCCGAACAAATGAGTTCAAGCCCCTCACTTCATCTCTCCTTTCCCGCAGATCCCACACTGAACTCAAGGGAACTTTCAAGAACATGCACAGGGGCTAAAGCAGGAGAGACTAGTGGAAGGTAAACCCAGGTATGATGCAGTGTATGGAATGTGGGATGGGAGGGGGCAGAAAAAGAGTGTGTGAGCTAGAAAGAGACACAGAGAAGCAGAAAGGGATGGTGAGAGAGGGAGAGAGACAGAGAAAGGCAGAGAAACAGGAAGACAGAGAGAGAAACAGAGACAGAGGCAGAGAAGGACAGTGCGTGTGCTGAAATACAAACATATTCTCAAGCTCTTTAGACAAAAGACTATTCCAACCTATTACCATTCCTAAACAGAAAGACACAATCGGTGAGGGAAAAGGCATGAGGGAAAAAGATTTACTGATAAAATATGTTTGGCTTTTTTTTACCACCACTGTTTCATTGCATTGATTATATTTTAATTAGAAAGGCATATACACATTTTGACAAAGTCAAACAATGAGTTTACAAATAAAAACAGTAAATCCCCTTGCTTCTTTGACCTCCAATTCCACCCCTCAAAGCAAATACTCTTAACTATTTGATGAGTCTCTTTCTAGTATTTGTTTATATGCTAGTAAAACTTGGGCGGCTAAATTCTGATGAGTATCACAGGGCAGACAGAAGGGGAGGAGAACTGCAAAGAGAAACAAGTGTTTCTAGCCCTGTGCCAGATATATTAAATGCATAGTAAACTCCATGAGGTCAGAGACCTCGTTAGTCTTGTTCTGATAAACCTCAAGCCTCAGAGCACCATCCAGGACAGAGTCAATACTTTAAAAATATTTGCAAAAAGAAGGAAGAGGGCTGGGCGCGGTAGCTCACGCCTGTAATCCCAGCACTTTGGGAGGCCGAGACGGACGGATCACGAGGTCAGGAGATAGAGACCATCCTGGCTAACACGGTGAAACCCCGTCTCTACTAAGAATACAAAAAAAAAAAAAAAAAAAATTAGCCGGGCGCAGTGGCGGCGCCTGTAGTCCCAGCTACTCGGGAGGCTGAGGCAGGAGAATGGCCTGAACCCCGGAGGCGGAGCTTGCAGTGAGCCGAGATCCCGCCACTGCACTCCAGCCTGGGCGACACAGCGAGACTCCTCAAAAAAAAAAAAAAAAAAAGAAGGGAGAGAAGGAGAGATGGTAAGGAGGAAAGAAAGGTAAAAGAAAGGAATGAGACGAGAAAAGAGGAAAAATCTAAAATGTTAAATTCTACCACAGCCCAATTGAACGAGTTTTATAATGCTGATTTTTGAAGATTACAACAGTGAGGCTTGGAGAAGTGAAGTAATTAGCCCAGAAGTCCATGCTGTTGCTACTAAAACAAGCTGCCCGTGGTAGGTACAAAGTGCTCTTAAGGAATACCTGTTCTGGTGAGCTGCCATGAGGGAAGTGAAAGGCACACTCCAGGAAGACAAGCCATCTGAAGTTAAGTCTACAAGGCAAAGAAGGGATCTGTTCCAGGGTATTGCCCGTTACAGAGCTTCATGTATTCCCCATGCGACAGACCCCACCGGCCAAAACACATTTGTCTAATTCAGTATTAAGCTGTGTCAATTGCTCAGGCTTTCCCTGAGAATATTATATTACATGCAAGACACGATGCCTTGAAGCAAAGATATTAAAATACAAAAAGAAAGATAAAATAGAAGCATAAAAAGGTAAAATGCAGTGCCACATTGTTGTACCAGGTAAGTCATTAAACAAAAAAATTATGAAAATTCTGGTTATGTTACATATTTTAATTTTACAGTTAAATAATTAATGCATCAGGGTTCTACCAAGATGACACTAATCTATTCGGTTTATTTTCAGAAATTTATTCAGTTTACTTTCAGTTGATTTGCAAAATGAAACAAGAGCTGGAAACTCACCGAGATGACCGTGTTAGCAAATATGTCTAAACATAATAATTTGGTGAAAGCTGTGTCTTGGTTATTGTACATTTATAGTAAGTTTTAAAATCAGGCAGTGTAAGTCCTCCAATTTATTATTTTTCAAAATTCTTTTTAAAATTTAAGTTCCATTGCGTTTTCCTAGAACACTCAAAATTATCTTGTCAATTTTATAGGAAAAAAATCTGCTATCATTTTGCAAGGGTGTAATAAATCCATAGATCAATTTGATGTATTACAAATATTAAGTCTTCCAATGTGTGAAGATGGTGAATCTCTCCAATTATTTAGATCTTGAATTTCTCTCAGGAACATTTTCTAATTTTCAATGTGATATGTCTTATACTTCTTTTATTCAATTTATTACTAAGAAACTATTTCATGCTATTGTGAGTAAAATTATTTTCTTAATTTTCAGATCATTTGTTGATATCATAAATGCAATTCATTTTTGAATACTGATCTTATATCCTGAGACTTTGCAAAAGATTCTGTTAATGTGAGAAGTTTTGTATGTGTGCATTCCTTAGAAATTTCTACATACAAGGCCATACCATCTGCAGATATAGACAGTTTTACGTCTTTCTTTACAGTCACTATTCTGTTTGTTTCTTTTTCTTGCACAGACTAAAAACTCCAATAAAAATTCTGAATAGAAATGTGGGTATCTTTCTCTGTTCCCAACCACAGGGTGAGACCATTCAGCCTTTCACCAATATGAATAACGTTAGCTATAATTTTGGGGCAGATGGTTTTTATAACTTGAGAATGTTTCTCTCTATTTTTATTGTCATTGAGAGTTTCTATCATGAATAGAGATTGAATATTGTCACATGATGTTTCTGGACCTTGGTGCTATGTGATGAGACTGCATCTTACTTAAACTTTGGCAGCAGCTGACTTCCTCTGAGACCACCGCAGTAGGGGAAGAGGAGACATCATCTCATGGTTTCCAGGTTTCTCACTCTGTCTCTGTTGACTCCCAGGTTGGGTGGGGTGGGGGAGGCTCCTTGTTACTGCTGGGTGGGGATGGGATTTTCCGTTTCCCTCTAGGCCTCACCTGACACTTCCTCTGCTGGGAAGGGTGGCAGTGCCATGTGGGTGCTCCCCTATGGCCTCCAGTGCCACAATGGAAGGAGAGCCCTGGTCCCTAGCCACACTCTCTGTACCACCCTGGTGGTGTTGGGGTGCTTTGTTACAGTCTCAGAAAGTCTTGACTTCTGGGGCTGCGATGTTTGACTGGATTCGAGCAGTTACTGTATAACGTTTTCTGTTGTGTTAGGACGTCTCTTTCCAGATTCTTTTATTGACAGAAGAGAATTTTTCTGGCTTTGAAGAGGCTTTTTAAAATCAATTAACTTATTTTCACCACGCTCACTGACATCTCAAGGTTGCCAGCTGCTTCAGCTCCAACTTGGCATAAAAAAGGCAAAAGAAAAGTCAAGGAACTCACCTTGTGCTGTTTCTCAAGATCTCCTGCCAGCCTGCCTTCTCTTCCTCACCTTTTGCAATTTTCTCATGTTTGTTTTACAGATGATGTTCAGGGATTTTAGTTATACTTAGTGGGAAGAGTAAAGAAAAGTACAAATTTTAAAAAGTACATCTACTTCCTGTTCAAGCTTTTCTAATTATGAAATAATTGTTTTATCCTAGTAAGATTTCTGGTCTTAAAGGTATATTTTGTGATACTAATTTAAAGTGCCAGGTCGGTTACGGTGTACTTGGTGTATCTTTTCCATCCTTTATGTTCAACCTATTTTTGCCTTTGAATCTAATGTGAGTTGCTTGTAAATGTATCCATCACGCAGTTGGACCTGGCTTTTTATCTGGTTCGACAATCTCTGTCCCTTGAATAAAAGATGTAGTCTATTCACATTTACTGTAAGTATTAATGTTGCTGGGTTTATATCTGTAATTTTGCTATTTGTTTCTTTATGTCTGATATCTTTTTTCATTCCTCTGCTCTCATTTGCTGCCGTTTTTGTGCAACATAAATACTTTTTAGTAGGCCATTTTAAATGCACTGTTGCAGTCTTTTAAGCTACGTTTTGTTTCATTTTCTTAATGGTTGTTCAAGGGGTTATCATATATATCTTAGATTATTATAATCTATTTCAGATAATTACTTTATTTTGGTAAAATGTAGCAGGTTTGCTCCCATATGGTTTTATTTTCTACCCTTTCCTGTGTCCAATTATTATCATTTATATCATATAATTGTTATAAACCAGCAAATACTCTTAATGTTATTGCTTTTAAATTTATTTTTCATTTTATTTATGTATTTTATTTTGTTTTCTTTTTATTTTATTTTATTTTTTGAGATGGAGTTTCGCCCTTGTTGCCCAGGCTAGAATGCAGTGGCACGATCTCGACTCACCACAACCTCTGCCTCCCGGGTTCAAATGATTCTCCTGCCTCAGCCCATTGAGGAGCTGCGATTACAGGCATGCACCACCATGCCCAGCTAATTTTATATTTTTTAGTAGAGACGGAGTTTCTCCATGTTGGTCAGGTTGGTCTCAAACTCCCGACCTCAGGTGATCTGCCCGCCTCAATCTCCCAAAGTGCTAGGATTACAGGTGTGGAAAAAAAAATGTTTTAATTAAAAAAAAAAGGAGAAATTACACATTCACAAACCCACATGCACATCTATACATGTATTTTCAGTTCTCCCCATACATGATAGTTGTGTTCTATAATGTCACTGCAAACAATCAGTTAGTGAATACTGAACTGTCGCTTCTAGGGAAAATTATGATTATGTTTCTTTGACACTCTGGTCCCGACAAACTTTAGTCAACCAATCAATATTTAATCTTGTTTATGTGTGTTTCTGTTTAAACACACCTTATTTAATATGCTGTATATTGTCGGTTCATTAACATTGAACTTATAGCCAATGACACTAGAACTCATACATGAATGAAGCTGATGTAATATACGTATTTTCTCTGTAAGGCATACTACAGCCTTCTTATACTTAGGAATGCTAGACAGTACTTCATCACTATGCTTGAGGGCCATTGTCAGCAACAAAATCACCAAAAAAAGAACAAAAATATGGTACTCAATAGACCATAAAAAGGATACTTGTTTATGGTAGTACAGTGAAATAAAGCAGAGCATTGCCTTGGCCTGAACTCCAGCAAAGACTGTGTACATTGAGTGACTTTGACTTTTTACTGCTCTGTGTATGCCTCTGAATGACTGCAAAAGCCCTGAGTAAGGATTCTGGAGTTGTAAATAAATTTCAGTGAGTATGTGAATATACAAATACAGAATCCATAAAACCTTAGGGTTCATACACACACATAATATTTTCTATTTAAACACACACTTTTCAATGGTGATCTTCATTACTTTCTGTGTATCTGAGATACTATCTAGTGTTATTAATATTTCCTTTTTCATCCTGTATCTTCCTTCATCAAATACCTTTACGCACTTTTACTTGTGTCATTATGAAACTCCTATTATATGCATGTTGACACAAAATGGTGTCCTATAGGTCTCTGAGTGTTTATTTGTCTTTAATCTTTTTTCCTCTGTTCTTCAGATTGGACTGTTTCCAATGATCTGTCTTCAAGGGAAAGTATTTTGTTCTATCATCCCAAGTTTGCTGTTGAGCCTCCCTTGTGATTTTTTAACTTCAATTGTATTTTTCAACTCTAGAGCTTCTATTTATTTCTTTTTTATAGTTTCTACTTTTCTGTTGAGAGTTCACATTTATTGATTTCATATTTACTTTTTATATTTCATTTAACATTTAATTATAGTTTCTTTTAATTTGTACATAGTTGTACTAATAAATGTTTGCCTGAGTTTCAGCACATCTCAGATATTTTTCTTGAAAGCTAAACATTTTACTTAATACTCAATATTTATCTTTGTTTTCCTGAGATGTGTGGGTTTTTTTCCCCCTCTTCTTTTTTTTCCTCTGTGGAATCCATCTCCCTTGCTCCGTTGAGTATGTGGCTACTGAGGACTCAATGTTTTTCAATCTTTATTTTTTTTTACCTTAGCTTCCTAGTGATTGCTTCTATATATCATAATTTATAGCTCAACCAATGATTTTGGCACACACTGTGCTCAAACACTTCTAACTGTAAGGATTACACCCTTTACTTACCAATCTGTGTGGAGGGCATAGAGTGGATTCAAGGTTCAATCATTTTTCAAGTCTCCCTTGGCTTTTATTTTTCACCTGGCCCTCGCCTGTCAAGCACATTAGCTTGTAATGTGCAAAGAGCCTAATTGGCCCTTCCATGGCTCTCTCATGTCCAGAATCTTCCACATTCTATTTTTGGGTAGTGTATCATTTACCCCAACAGATACTACAATCTCGGGCTAGCAAAGTGGTGGGTTTTCCCTGCTTGTTTTCAACAGTTAACAATACCACAAAGTTTATTGCCTTGCTCCAAATCGAGTCAG